ATTATATAAAATTAATTTAAAAATACTTTTAAAATAAAAAAACTTACAAAAAATACTTTTTCTTTTCTTTTTTAAGAAAAAACTAACATGCACTAATTAAAATCAGGATTGCATACTCGTGTTAATTCTTCTCCAGACTCCAGCAAAACACAAATTATATGAGAAAAACAAAAAAGAAAAAAAACAAATAAAATATGAATTATTTAATCATCTGTTCTAATTATTTAATAGGAAGGCATAAATAAATTAAAATCATAAAAAAGACCAATCTCAAACTAAAATTTTTTTAATTCTACAAATATCAATGCCTATTGTTCAAAATCTTGCAAATATCTACAATTCACCTTTAATTGATTCAAAACATTATACATATCAAAACCCTTAAATTATTATAAACCTTAATATTTTCAATAATTAATTATAAAAAAATAAAATAAAAATTAGATAATAAAAAAATAAAAAAATGAAGGAAATTTATCTAAAATTTAAAAGATTACTTGCTTAATTGGACATGAAGAGAAATTTATACAAGGGAGAGGGGCAAGGAACAACAACTCAAAAAAAAAAAAAACTTATGGATATCGAGTGGAAAAAAAAGAGAAAAGGAAAACATTTGAAGAAATGAGAAATGAGCTGGAGTAAGTACCGGAAACCTAAACATAAGACATATATTATATATATTATTTATTATATTAAAATATAAGTCAATAATATTTTCTTTTTGTCTCTGAGTGCGTTAACCCTTCAAGCCCTCACCATACTATTATATTAATATTTTAATATAAAAAATTAAGGGGACAATTGCTCCCTTTTGACCCCACATGACTCCACCATTAGACTTAGTAAAATTTTTAATATCTAAAAATTTGACGGTTTGTGTAGCAATACAATATAGGAAAAACAACTTCTGAAAACTCCTGTAAAATTTTAAGAGCTATCAAATATAATGACCTTTTTGATTTGTTATTCTACTTTAGTACGACCAAACCTCTTCTTGGACCTAAATCTGTTCTATTAGTCCATAAATATATCTGCTAGGTCATCTGCATAATCTGTTTGGAGCAGATCATTATTTAGTTATGGCAAAACCATATTTGACTAATTAAAATCACCCGTTATCACAAGCTAGACTACATTATTAACATTGAAAAACATAGAACAACTATTGTGTGAATATTGCTGAGCCAGCCAATTGGGGAGCAGATTGGTTGAGCCAGATGATTGGACCTTCACTTTGTCATGCTTTTGAAGCACGAAAAAGTGAAAATGTATTATTTCATCAAATTCTTTTGAAACAATGTTATTTTGTTAATTTTTTAGCTTTACTATGCTAATTGATAAAAAAAAAACCTCTCAATCTAAGCCAAAACGTTATAGTCGGCAACAATAAAAACATACAATTGAGCCCGTGCAAGTAAAATCCTTCAATAACCAATCTCATATCTATCTAGCCAACTCTTTGCCTCATGGATGTGACCTTACCTTGACCTGAGAGGACTTAATCTTGGTTCAACTTCACACGTGTACAAACTAGATCCCAAGTAAACTATTAGACCTCAAGCCCAAGCCTAGATCCAAAGCAAACCACCCTGAATTAATCCAAGCTCAATAGTAACATGCCATGGACTTACAATCCATTTGGGACTATGGCTAACCATGTAGTTGGCTGCAATCCCAAACAAAAAATAAAAGAATATTTGTTTTTATGGTCCGACTTATTATTTTAAATGCGTTTTGAACTATTTTTCACTTGAAAATATATCAAATTAATATCTTTTAGATGATTTTTTTTATAATTTTAATATGTTGATATCAAAAATAAAAAATTCTTAAAAAAACATTATTTTTATTCATTTTCAATTGAAAAGAACTTTTAAAAACCATCATGCACCATATTCTTAAACATACATTTAATCCTGGCTTAAACTTCGAGCTTCTCAAAACTAGACCAAAGTTAACTTTTGGTCATATGAATATGTTTTTTTGGGCTTGACCCCTAGGTTACTTTGAAATGATTTTTAGATTTCCAAGTGCCTTGAGCCTTATCTCGGTCTAACTCATAAATTTTTTAAATTTAACTCACCCAATTATTATATATATAAAAAACTAAGCCTTCTCAATCTTTTAGTATCAACTATGAGGAATGCATTGTTAATTCAAACAATGTTTTCTTTTCTTTTGGTCATTGTGATGTTTTACACTTTGATCCCTCAATTGCTTTGTCTTTTTATTTAGTCTTTTAAAATTATTTTAATTTATGATTGGTTTTAGTGATTTATTTTTCATGCATGTTATGATGATCTCAAGGTGTCAAGAAAATGTTTCATTGCTTAGTTAATTCTCTGTTTGGTGAATCAAAATTCATTTTCATTAACTTGAAATAATTAGAGCTTTGAGAACCGAATTTGAAGTTTAAAGAAATGGTCAGTTCTTTCTTTTTTTGCTAACATCAAGGACTGATTTGCACAATCAGAGGGAAGTTCATGTTCCTTTTTTAATTTTAACCCCTCAATTATTTTTTTAAAATTTGAGCCCGTCACATTGCTTTTATTTGGTATTTGACTTTGAAATTTGTTTTTGGTTGCCTTGATACAAGAATCTTGCAATAGCAAGGGAAATTTTTATTGCTCAGTTGATACTCAGTTTTGCAAAATAAAATAAAATCCAATTGATTTAGAATAATTAAGTTTTAAATGATCAAAATCGAAACTAAAATAAATATAAGGACTGTATAAATGAGCAAGGTAAATTGGTTAGCATGTGTAAAACACCCTACAACAAGTGTGGAAGCTCGTCGCCTTCTAGCGACACATGTGACTTTTCCTAGTGGCTAAACATCAACTTCCATGATGGTGTTGGAAGCAGTATGACATGCTCTTTCAGGTGGTTTGAGGCGAAGGCACAATGACAAGGCTCTGATGACCTTTTTTCCTTCTCCTCTTTTTTTTTTATTCTCTCATCATGATTCATGTTGGCATGCAAAAATTAATGTCTTGTCATTTTATTTATTGTATCAAATTTGGTTCTTATTTTTTTTTTTTATTATTTGTTTTATTTTAATTTTTTAATTTATTTTTTTAATACCTTCCTTTGATAGTTGGTTTCATTTAATTTTTATATCAAATTTGATTTTTATTCTTTTATTTGCTACTTTTTTTTTATCCTTTTCTTAATTGATTATTTTTCAATTTCATCCATCAACATTTGGCTTCATTTTATATTTATATCAAATTTGGTTTTTATTTTTTTAATTGCTATTTATTTTGTTTTAGATGATTTTTTGATTTTTTTAAATTTTATTATTTAGTATTTAGTTGATTGAGAATTTAGCTACGTGATTGAGAATTTCAAATTTCTTTGTATGGGATTGGTTTCGGCCTCATGACCCGAGTTGTGGGTTTTGAAAATTAAACCAAGCTAACTTTGATCCTTTTTAGGTTTTTTTTTTAAAATTAATTTTTTTTAATTTCATTCTTCAATATTAGTTTGGTTGAGGATTGAACTTCATGATTTTTTTATATCGAATTATCTCAATCTCATGTCACTGATCAAGGATTTAACGGGTTAACTTTGGTTGACTTGGTTCTTTTTTTCATTGCTTTTTTTTTTAGTTTCTCCCTTCAACATTATATTATTTAAGAATTAAGCTTTATAGTTTTTTCAATTTTTTTCTATTAGTTTATCCGAGTCTTACGATTAAATCCTAAAATTTCTTTTCAATTTGTTTTATATGGGTTATAACATTCTAATTTATTTTTTTACTTTATTATCAAATAAAATTATGAAGACTTTTGAAGAATATTGGAATGATATTTTTTTATAATATTGAAAAATATTTATTTTTTGATTTAATTATTATCAGTTTTTTTTATTTAGTTTGATTTATTAACCGTTGTTGCCTTTGTTTAATAATAGTATTACATTAATCTAGTTTATTAAACTCAATCATCAACCATCTAAGTCTTGAATTTATCATCCTTCTTTAAAAACACTATTATTGTATAAATATTTCCTTTTGTGTTTAGAAAAATTTATCATTCTCGTGACATAGCACGTGAGCAACCAATGCAGTCTTAGTGGAATCCACGGCGTGTCAAATTTGACTCCAAATTTCAATCAAGTGTCAACGTCTTTTTTTTAAAAAAAAAATGAAAAAGAAAAAGACAAAAAATGATTCTACACAATCTGTAAAAGAAATAATATATTATTATTTGAGTTCCAATTTAGACCTAAGACAGAGAATTCTAACACGTCCAAAGTCAAACAAAACAACTAAATGTATGATCACCGGGCTCCTCCTATGCCCTACCTTTGAAAAGAAATCAAAGTAACCATTTTTAATTTGCATGATTGGATCGACGGCCATCATCAAATCTAATATATAATCTAATTTTAGTTTTGCATTTTTTTCTTTTCTTTTATCTATATTTATTTTATTTATTTATTTATTTATTTCAAAAATCAAACGGTTAACTAGCATGGAAGTGCTACCATTATAAGCATTGCATGGCATGCATGGACTCGATCAAAACAATTTAGACACGAGCGCCGGTGAAGCCCTTCAACTGTTATGGGAAAATGTCGCCCGGAAAATTCTGTGACTGTTTCTAGAAAAGCTACATGCAAGCCACCATATCTCTGTAATTGTTTTTTCGTTTTAAATTAAAAAAATTAGTATTTTTAAATTGTTTTGACGTGCTATATCAAAAATAAAATATTATTTTTATATAATTTTAAATAAAAATTATTACTGCATTAAACTAATAATCAGTAAACTCAAATATTTTCCCTCAAATTAGGGTGGATATTGACCCAGTTGATTAAATACAAAGAAAGTTTGACAAGGTCAACTCAATGTTTTTTTTTAAATCTTTATTAAGAACAATATTAATTTTTTTCTCTCTAAAATGATATCATTTAATAATGATTTCTCGAAAAAAACATTGTTTTGAGATTTCTCTAGCTAGCCAGCTAGAAATCCCAGCCTTGGAAGGGTCATATCTTGAGCCAAGTCCAACAATAATATTGTATACAAGAGTAGAACATTCTGTGAAATTTGCGGCATAAAGTACTCGGAATTTCTAGAAATATAAAATATATACTAGTCAATCACAGTATTAATAGTTATTAATTTATCGTAATTTTATTAGCTTATTGTAAATATATAACCAATTTAATTGTACTTTGATATGGTACATTGCAACGTGCTTCTTGCTCATGAATTCCCCAGCTGATTCTCACATTTTTGGAACAGTTACTTGTAATAATCCGTTGCTGCGCCATGAAAACACATTCAAGTCAGTATTATACAAACCAATTCATGCATGATAAGACATTAAAATGTACTATCAATTCTAGATTTACAAGTTTCAAATCCTATCTTCTCCTACGAGGATTGAACTCTGCTTTTTCATAAGCTTGAAAAACGAACAGATGCCAAGATTGTACTCAGAGAAATAAGCAATTGCTACCAACAGATTCATAGAGAAACACTAACAGAACAAATGAATGTGTACTCTCTCATTAATCATGCAATGAAATAAGTTAAGCCATAACTTACAGAAACTCAGCTGAGACAGAGTCCTTGTTCCCATCGAGGGGAAGTTGCCACACAATCTCGTATGGCCCTTCTACAATCTCCTTCTTGTGATATCTTAAGATGGAGTCACTTAAGCAACCACCGGATGCCATTTTACTGCACTGAGTGGAGCGTTTGCCCAATACTTTCAAGCTGCAAGAGAAAAAAATACCAGAAAATCTTACCAGGTCAAATGGTGGATACCAATTTAACAACTGATTGCCTTGCGAGGGAATTTAGTGACTAAAGCAGGATGAGATGAGATTTAGGAATACAAAGCAAATCCCATCACTTACTTTTGGCCATGAATCTCCACTCTAATGTCATTGACGTTAACACCTGGAATCTCTATTTTCAAGACATAATTAACCCCAGATTCTACAACATCCATCTTTGGTGACCACTCAATTCCTGCAGGACATGTGTGTGTGTGTGTGTGTGTGTAATGAGAATCCATGCTACAAGATAATATTTAACATCAAGATTCCGAAGAATATATAGTGTCGTTGTGATATGGATGCTTGAAATGGAACTACTGACCATTAGATTCAGAAGAATTTATTTTCTTCTCAAACTGAAGCTGCCCGTTCCTGTTTATTGTGCGTCTATTTGGCCTGGCAAACTTGGGAAGGGCAGACATGGTTGACTGGGAATATTTAGCAGGAGTTAGGGTCGGTTCAACGTTTGGCAAGTTCGGCTTCATCTTGGTAGGCCTCGAAAACAATGGTGCTTCATCGTTTATAAGTTCAGCATTACAAGACCATTCTGTTTCAGAAGAAGCAGAGGATTGGAGACCCTTTTCGGAGCTACCCTGCTGGCATGCACAGTTAGATTTTAGAAACACGAGTGAGCAACCCTGCTAGCTGCAGAAAATCAGCAATTTGAGCAACAGCTTATTGGGAAAAATCACCCCATCATTAAACAGAGAAAAAAAACATAAAAAGAATAGATTAAACTATCACCTGCTGAATTCTCATGAAGCAAGCTTGAGAAGCTGACCCCTGACGTGCAAAATACATTCTATTATCGCACCTTCGGATGACAGAATTCAAACTGCCACTGCAGTTCTGATCAGACAAGAAAACAAAGACAGAATGAATCATACCAGTAATCAGTATAGTAAAATACAAATGCTTCAGAAAGCTGTTCGCTTAAATTAATCACCAAAGGGAGGAGGTGAGCGGGGGAGGATATATCATCAGCAATGGTGTGTGCAAAATGGGCAACAATCATGTTCATTCTCCGTCTCACAGCCTCGCTATCCATTTCTCAATATCTTGTTTAGAAGGTACAGTCTGTGAATTCTGGTATGGGAGCGTAGATTTTTTCGTTTCTCTTGGTGGATTATATAGCGGGAACAAGATATCTTCAATATCTGTTTGCCGCAGGGGTTTAAGTGGCCATTAAATATCCATCTGGTCTCCTCGAGGCCAATCATAGCCTGGGATCTAGAAATTACAGATACTTGTCCAAGTGGTACCTCATCAAAGAAATTTCTCAATCCAGCCCCTGTACTTCAGGTCACCTTGCATTGGTAGCTTACATCCACTCGTTAAAGCGTAAATGTGGCGAACTCTCATTGGTCGTGTTCTAGTGATGATCGTCTCGAAGATCACTCAGGGATGACCATTTGTGATGGAGATTCATCTTGTCCAGAGAGATAGTGACGGAAAGAGTCACAGCAGAGGAGAAATATCTGTTTCTTTAAGCGATTTTTCTATTCAATTTGAATTGATTAAGTTGATTTTTGTTTATTTTGAAACTTAATTTGACTTTTGGTACACGAAGCACTCATCCAAAAATTTAAAGTGTTTTTTTATATAAATATATTTAAATAATATATTTTAAAAACTTGTTTTTAATATTAATATATCAAAAAAAAATTAAAAAATAAAAAAAAATCCTAATTTTTTTTAGAAACAACGTTTGTGTGTTAAAAAAAACTAAAAATATTTTTATTATTTTTTATGAGTTCAAATATGCTTCTTTTTTTTTCCCTTTCATTATCCATCTACGTTTTTTTTAGATTCATTGAGTAAATATTAATAGTTACTTCTAAAATATTTTTGATGAATCTTCCCATTTAATAATATTTTGTAAGCTTAAAAAATATAAACTCCCACGATAATCTCATATCAGTAAAACTCATGTATTTGTATTCTTTTAATGTTAGTCCTATAATTTGAATTAAAAAATAAAATAATTTATTTTTAACCATTAGAACAAACTCTAGAGATAGACTCGAATCTTATTAAAATATCATAGATTTATAGTTTTTTTTACAAAGCTTAGCTGACGTACCACTTCTTCACGAAAGAAAACAATTTAAGGCAAATTAAACGAAGAAGAATCAACGAAAAGTCATAGTTTTTCGTATTTTAAAAATTAAAAAAAATATTTGTTATTTTAAATTATATATTTTTAATATTTTTAAATTATTTTGATACTTTAATATTAAAAATAATTTCAAAAAAATAAAAAAATTATTTTAATATATTTTTAAATAAAAATATTTTAAAAATCAACTATAAACACAATATAAAACAGACGATAAACCAGAAAGATGAGAAACCAGGGGTCGTCTGCGGTGGAGAACCATGCGGAGTTTGTGAAAGTCTTTGAAAGGAAAATAAATAAATAAGAGAATCACGGTGGATTAGCTATGGCCATGTTGACTTGTCCCATAGAAAATGCATTATTAACGAGAAAAAAGAAAGATATTTTGACTGGTCCTCCCTCCTGCTTGTTGAAACTTTCAAAGTTGAAGAAAAAGTAGATGGCGGCAGTCAAAGCTCACTTCTCTCGTTCTTTATGGACAGGATTTTCTTCTTGGTTCCATGGGGTGAGATGGCAGCACAAAACATGTAGTTGTTGTGTGTGTATATATACAAGAAATGGGCAGGCAAAATATACTTGAAAAACCAGGAGGATAATACATACAGTAAATTAATTCTGGGTTTTCTTGATAGTGGCAAGAAGCCTCTGGTAGCTTCTTCCCGTGTGCAAAAAACTTGCTTCTTTCCTTTTCTTTTTTCATTAAGTTTGAACTTTGAGGGCTTTTGGTGTTAGAAAGGTCAAAACTTGCTGCTGCTTCTTTTTATCTTCTCTTGCTTAGTCTCCAAGTTCCGCAATTTCATTGGTCGCCACAAAAAACAGCTCATATTCTCATCGACAATTCCTTGCTAGTTTTCAAGATCACAACTCAAATTCTTGAGCCCTGCAATATCCATCTCCAGATTTCTTAATCTGTTGTGGGTTTTTTCTCTCTTTGTCTAAATTTGTCAGATCTTCTTGGGCGGCAGCATATGGATGTCAGGTTCCTCTAGAACTTGCTTGTCGATCTTGTGTCTTATTTGGGATTTCTAGATGGTTTTTATTGATTGAATTTTGGGGATAAGTGAATAGAATACGAAGAAAATAGTTATGGATGGTTCACAGAGTAACAGTTCAAATGCACCACCGCCTTTTCTAACCAAAACATATGACATGGTGGATGATCCCTTGACTAACTCGGTGGTGTCATGGAGCCACAGTGGTTGCAGTTTTGTGGTGTGGAATCCACCTGAATTTGCTCAGGATTTGCTTCCCAAGTACTTCAAGCACAATAACTTCTCCAGTTTTGTCAGGCAGCTTAATACTTATGTAAGTTGATTAGTCTATTGTTAATTTCTTCACTTTGGACATGATTTTATCTTATTAGTACACAATTTAATGTCTCTAGAGTTGTTTTCTCTTCTTCTTTTCATGGATTTTGGAATTTTGTTACATCCATGCTAATCAATAAAAATCCTTAATCTGGAATTTTTTTTTGTTGCCCTTTTCTCCCTTCTCTTGTGTCTGTGTGCAAGCTGAATGGTACTTCTTTAGTTAGAACGAACAACACTTGTTGACATCTTCAGGATTTTATAAATCTAAATCATGTTTATTCATATATCCATTCTGTTATAGAATAATTTGTGAGCATGCGGTGGTTTAATTTACACTTCAAATCAGAAGTAGCCTTGACACGAACTCAGGAGTGCACGAAAATAACTTTGGAGTGAGTCTTTGAGACATGTTTCTTTGTCATTTAATTTCTCCTTTCCTTCTAGTTAGTATGCCTGATTTGAAATAGTCATGCGAGCACACCAATCTGTGCTTAATCGAGAATTGGTATCCATTCGCTCTGCAAGTTGAACATTTTTACATTTTTCTGGTGAATTCTTTTCGCTACTAAACTCAAGCTTGCAATCTGTGGTTTCAGGGATTTAGGAAGATTGATCCTGATCAGTGGGAGTTTGGTAACGAAGAATTTATAAGAGGGCAGAGACATCTTCTAAAGAATATTCACCGGCGCAAGCCAGTTCATAGCCATTCCATGCAGAATCATGGGATTATCTCTCCGCTTGCTGAAACAGAAAAACAGGAATATGAGAGGGAAATCAACCGACTGAAACATGATAGGAATGAACTTGAGTTGCAGCTACAGAGAAATGAGGCAGAGAAGCAGGGGTTTGAATTTCAAATCGTCTCACTGGGTGAGCGCTTACAGAGTATGGAATGCAGACAGAAGCAGTTGATGTCCTTCCTGGTTCAGCTAATGCGAAAACCAGAGTTTGCCTCTCTTCTCATGCAGCAGTCAGAATATCATAACAAAAAGAGAAAGCTACTGGAACTTGGTTACTTCCAGGGCGATTACAAAGAGGAGGAGAATGAGAATTTGTGTTCTCCAATTGCAAACCTGGATGGATTGCCTGCTCCAATGCTGCATCCGGAGTCAGTTGAGAAGTTGGATTCATCATTAAAATTCTTGGAAGATTTTCTCTATGCTGTTGGTGAAAGTTTTAGTGAAGAAGTGTGCCATGTTGGTGTCAGATCACAACCTTCAATGGTCATCGTTAGAGAATTAAGTTCATCCTCTGCAGATGGCGAGCCTTGGTCGCCAAGATCGTTTCCATCTTCACCACATTCGAGGGACATTTGTTCGTCACCTGAGCTGGCTAGATGTATCAATAATGTTGTCAGACAAACAACGCCCAGTTATCTCGGTGATGATACGATGCCTGAATCTTCACAGTTACAGGAAAATTGCAAGCATTCTAGAGCTCCAGCATCTGAAGTCATAAAAGCACCAGCATTAGAGATGAAAAGTCCTACTGTGGTGAACGGAGCAAATGATCTTTTCTGGCAGCACTTCCTGACTGAGGCCCCCGGTCCCCATGATGGACAAGAATCTGAAGGGCGAACTGAAAGAAGGATTACAGATGACATAAGAAGCAATACCAAGCCGGACAGTCACGAGAGATCTTGGTGGAATACGAACTACATAGATAATCTTGCAAAAAATATGGGACACATTGCGACAGCTGAAAGATCATGATGGTAGTAGATTCCTTCGTCCCTTCACGTCTCATGTCTTCACTGAATGTAAATTACTAACAGAAGAGGTAAATTATTTTTGGTTGTAGAGGTCATAATGTCAGATTTTTCGATTTTTTATCCTTCCCACATCAGTCTTGGATAATCTCAGGTGCGCGTTAAAACAGCTTAAAAAGACATCAGCATATTTTGAGCACAAATACAAGAAATTGCAAAAATTCAATATCCACATCAATCAGAAATAATGAATGGAGTGAGATGGAGTATAGAAAATAGAGTTCCAAAAAAAAAAAATCTGCATTCAATGTCTATAATTTCTCCAGAGACCAATCAGATGGTTGTGACATTAGCTTTGTTTATATAGATATATTTAACTTATTAATAAAAATATATTTATTTTTAATATTTATTAAATATTTTATTAATAAATTTAATATTTGATTAATGAATAAGGTAAAGTTCTTATAAAAAATATTTCACATAAAAAATTATAAAGTATCTTCATGGTTTATATAAATTACCATTGTGAATTCCTTTCTTAAAAGTATTTGGAGATTTTTTATTAATGATTCATATAAATTACTGTTATAAATAGTAAATTATTGCTAGAGACTGAAAACTTAAATGGCTTATGATTTGCAATAATTAACCTTAATATTCAAAACTAAAAAAAATATGTAAGCTTTAAAAAAAATATTCAAAACAGGTAATTTTTATATAAATTCTAAACAATTCTAAATCTATTTAAGATGATTTTTAGAACTTCCAAATAAATTTAAAGTTTATAGTTTATGTTGCATGTACGTGCTTTGTGAACCAACAAGATGATATTCCTGTATTTTCAGAAATAAATCCTAGCATCTGTGTTGAAGAGTAGTTAATGGTATGGAAGGTGTAGTTGCAGGAAATCATGGAAAAGAAGTTTAAGCCTTCTTGGACTTCTTTAAACCCCCTTCCTTCTTATCACCCTCTGCTGCCTTTTTCTTGGCCTTCCTCTCCCTCTTCTTTAGAGCCGTCATGTGGGCCTTGAGAGTA